AATAGTGCTTAAGTATTCATTCATTATTTTCCCCTTAGTAGATGCTCAGGCTTAGCTTATTATTTTGATTATGCTTTGACTAAAATTTCCAAAATTTTACAGCAGTGCATGCTCTGAAAGATCTGATTTTAACGCAGCACCTTTGAACCAGTTTGCATGAGTGTTGGAAGAAGGCTTCCTGGGATTGAAAGTTGAGAAAACATCTGGCAGCAGAACTCAGCCACCAAGTTAGAGCACACATTGTAGACCCATTAGATGCTGGGGAGGAAGTGGTTATGTTGAGTATAAATGCAGAGTACTCCGTAAATGACTATCTCTGCTGCCCATGTACGAAACAGCTAGAAGGATAGTCTATACTCCCTGCAACACTCCCTAGAGAAATGGAAAGGGGTCTTTGATCTTTCTGCCTGACTGCTCCCCTCCACACTGTCACACGCCATGCATGCTCATACTAGACATCTCACCACGGGGCCAGCCTCTGGACAGCAGGATGGGCTGAAGTCCCAGAGGGCTTTTTCACTGTCAGTATAGGTGGAGTAAGATTGGTTCTTTGTATGTTGACTTTTGATATGCTGAGTTCTCCATTCTTCAAATGAAATGCCTGAGCAGGTGGTGAAGCCCAGAGGGATGAGTTTGCCATGCACGGTCCCACAGGGGCATGATCCACAGGGCAGGGATCACGCCTGCCTCATTCACCACTGGAGACCTAGCCCCTCAAATAGTACCTAGCACACTACGGGGCCTTGACTGGTAGTTAGGAAGTGATGCAGTGAAGGAGTGAAGGAATGCAAACTTTCCTTTGGTCACTTCGGAAACCTCTCTCACCTGGATAACAACAGTAACCTCCTAACTGATCTTGTCCTTTCTACTTTTGCCCCTCTATAGTCCATTCTCCACATACCAGAATGATCTTTTTAAAAACAAATCAGGTTCTCAAATTAGATCATGGTCATGGCTGCACAACTCTGTAAATATACTAAAAATCACTGACTCGCACACTTCAAATGGGTGAATTTTAGGTTGTGTAAATTTGATCTCAATAAGGTGATTAAAAAATTATCATTCCCCTACTTAAAACCCTCCACTGGTGTCCCGTTTCACTTAGAATTCACCAGATTACTTACAGTGACCTGCCAAATCCTATCCCCATGGGCTCTGCCTACCTCTCCACCCTCTTCTCCCACCAGCCACCACTCACCTCCCACTACGCCTTAAGGCCTTGCACATGCTCCTAGCTCTACCCACACTACTCTTGTTCATAATATTCTGAGCGATACCTCTTAGCATTCACGTCTTCCCACTCCCATGCTATTGCCAATCACCAACCTTCAACTCCACTTTCTGTATTATGTTTGTATAGCACTTCTCAGTCTCTGAAAATTATATTTTATTGTTTTCTTCACTCAAACACAAATTCTGTGAGAGAAGACAATCTTTTCATGTTTACCTCTGAAGAACGGCACCTGAGACACATAGTGGAGACTAACAAATATCCGTTGAATGTGGACTGCCTGGTTCCCGCACAGACAGTTCATTCTGCCAAGCCTGTCAGGAAAAAAACTAGTATCTACCTTAGTACAGCTTTACAAGAAAAAAATGCTTAAAAAATTCTTATTGCTTTGGAATGATTATTTTTTACACGCATGGCAAAATTAGCTAGCTTCTGTCTGGGAATAGCTTTTCCAAAATTAAAATTAAAATAATGTTAATATTCCACTATACAAGCTGTAATTACAATGCCCCTAAAGTTTCAAACATACCTACGTTGGGGGGGTTAGGAGCAGGGCTGGTAGGTCTTCTAGTCCAGGTGATTACTAACAGCAGTTGGATACTTACAAAAACATGGAGACCGTAAGAAGTCGTCCTCATTCTACTTTGTTTAGGACTCTCAGAAAGCCATGGTAATATTTGTAAAACATACACTTAATTACACAAAGTTTTCCTTTTACTACTACACTCTGGGTAATTATAATTTCAAGAATGATATAGCTCAATCATAGCCACACCCTCTGAACCACTTCTAATAACATCTAAGATTCACATAAGCTTGAACTGCTTCCAAGTACTTTCCCATGAATTCTCATTTGACCTTTGCAACAGCCTATGGGAAAAAGAAGTGTCAGTATTAGAACTTTTTTGAGGAGGAAACAAAAGTTCAAAGAATTAGAGAGACTGTACAAAATCCCACTGTTAGTTAAGGAGGGATTCTAGCCACGGGTTTTTCTGACCTATCACTTGCCTTTTCTTCTTAAGGCCTCACCTGGGAAACTAGCTGTGCCTATATATTATGTAACAAGAAGTATTAGCAATCAAAAGTGCTCCAGGGAATTAAGAGTTGGTAATAGGATTAAGAGGGATTTGTATTCAATTAAAACTGTTTATTTCATTTTAATAATCTGTATGTTCCTAAAAAGTCCTCAGTTTGGCCTTTACTGTCACAAATTACACACATACAGTGTAACTCATTTGTTGTAACCATATTGACTTAAGGAAATATCACTAATGTGTAAGCAATCTGTTTTGGATATTTTTTGTTTTTGATACTTTTAATGATTGTGTTCCCACTGTTTATAAATGGTTTTATTAATGATAGGTTGAACTTTTAAAGCTTTTCAGAAGGAAATCAGGTCTTAATAAGTAATACTTTCTATCAGGAAGTATCTTTATACCAGCATTTAAGAAGTGCTTGCTTACTTCCAAAGAGTTTTTAAAAAATCATCAGTGTCAGAGATTTTGTACGATTTTCCATTCTACATGGAAGCTCATGGATATTAGGTAATTGATAGCCTTTTTTAAACCCACAGGATGTCTGATATTTCTGTCCTAGTTCTTATCATGCATTAATTTCTCATAAGTCTTTGATAAATCTGTCAAACTAATCTTCAAGGATTTCTCTTTAAGATCTAAATACTTGGCATTCCCATCAAGACCGACATAGCTTCTCCAAAGCAATTCCAAAAACTAGTATATCCTTACATAAATATGTAAGTGTTTATCTCTAGCAACACCTCTTGGGCTGCTATTCCAGTTAATAAGAATAAATTTTGATGTAAAAAATACTTTAGGGGAAACTCTAACAATTTCTTCCTTGAGAGTTCTGTTGATTACTTGGGATGAGAAAATCCTTCACCCAGTTTATTCACTATTCACATGTTTTATTACTATTCTTGGCAACCAACTGTCACTTAAAAACCAAGCAAGAATCTAAGTAATTCGCATTTTTCCTTTTTTTCTTTTTGCATATTCTTCTTTCCCAGTCCCCCTCTCCCTACACAGCTCCACAAAACTGACAGTCATTTTACTTTCTCTGAATAAAGAACATTTCAGTTACTCACTGTAATGACCCGTATATCTATTCTTTGCTTTTAAAACTGAGTAACCCCTATAGGTATCATTAGTCCAATAACTGATTTTCATAAAGGACCTGAGGGGCTACTAGATCTCAAAGTGCCCTCTGAATCAAAGGTTTAATGATGTTCTGCAATTTTTAGATTAAATATACTTTACTAAGAACCAACTGCTTAAAAGTTTGGAACATATAAACCATAGAACTAACTTGCTGTTTCATCAGCATATGTATCTGCCTGGTTCTGTTGTGTGAGCCACATACACAGAGGTAGATCGATCTGCTCAATAAATCATGAGATGCAGAAGACAAAGTAAAAACGCCAATACTCTATTAGAAAACACGTGATCTCGGTAAGCCGACAGTGACAATGTTCTCCCAGAACTAAATTTTGCGTACCAGCTAATAAACTTTGGTTTGAGCACCACCTAATGGCAGAGAACGTTTTTTTAAAAATCCTACTTTGCTTTGAGGCTTGCTCACTTTCGTATTTTATATTGATTTAGAACATGTTCTGCTCTTTATTGAACTAAACAGTTCTAAGTGTTCAGTTTTCTTAACAAGATTAAGCCCTTTCCATGCCTACCTACCTTGGAACGATAAACTGCCTTTTACAATGGGAAAATGCCCCAGTGAAATGAATATTCCAAAAAATTCGACTCCATCCTTAAATATTTAAATTTAGCCTCATAATTTAGAAATATGTTTTTAATTGAATCTTAATTACTTAAGGGTTCTCAAACTCTTCTGCACTGTATATCTTTACAATAACCTGCCACAAAGAAAACAGCTTATCTTCCTGAAAACATGGTACTTATTAGAACTAAGTAATTTAACATATCTAAGTAGCTGCTAAAACCAATTCTGAATGAATAGTGATTCACACTTTTAAACCATACACGTTTAGGTTTTTTCAAGTGGTCCTTACCTTGCCCCAGCCTACTGTTTGTTTCACTTTGTGATTCAACAAAGAGGCAAAATATTTGGAACAGTAGAGAGCAAAGCCAATGTTTTAAGAAAAAGTATTTATTATTTACACCACTGAAATAGTCCCGTAAGAACAATATACACCATGTTTATTTGAAAGGATCAGATTCCTTTCAAATATAAGAACTGTATAAAGCAATACTGTCAACACAAAACAGTGGTCACATTACATATCTGCAGGCGTAAGCATTGCAAATAATTTTTTTTTAATCTTATGGCTAAATATTTTCACTGAGACACAGTGTTTGCAATTAGACGAGATATAGCTGGAACAGAACAAAAACTTTTTGTTCATGCTTTTTAGGGCTGTCCCCTTAAAAATGTATTGCCTTTAATTGCTTTCATGACAACGGTTTTAGGCAGAAGTGCTTCTACTTAGCCACCAAAAGAAATAACTTTTGTTCCTTAGTTTGTATTCTTCAGTCTTATGTTTTCTATTTCTCATACTATGAGACACACTTGTATCACAGCTGACGTTTTCCAGTTTTACTCAAAAAACACGGGACACACATATAGACCAAACTGAGACAGCTCAAAATTTAGAGATGTAAATAGTGCACAGTAAGAAGAGAAACGTGTCTATGACAAAGGAATAAAAAAACTCCTGGTGATTTTAAGCATACCAAACTAGGATCCTTATGCAAAAACTTTTTTTTTTTTTTTTTTTGTTTTAAAGGGAAAAGCAGTAGTTGCAAGATGGGTTTGGTCTTAGATTTAGTCAGACAACAACACAATGAGACAAAAACACAAGACATAACTTGTTTCCAAAGCCACAAAATGACATTGTTGAGTATACATTTTTGTCGACTTTTGTGTGTTGGGGGGGAGGAACTCAGTACTCAATGCTGGAGAAAATATTTTTCAAGGGTAAGAGTATATTCATAGAGGGGGGAAAAAAGGATTTTTTTAGCATATTGCTATGATCTTCAAAAAATATAAAATTAAATTTACAAAAAACTGGAAGACCAAGTATAAGCAGTCTGATATTCACTGCAGTGTCCAGCACTATCATAATGATTTCTAGCATAAAAGCAAGAGGTTCATGATCTCAAGTATCCTCAATAACTGCCAGTATAACTTGTAACTACTGTCCTTGCTTCTTTGACAGATACCTGCAAGAAATAAAATAAAGATGTCTAAGCTGTATCATGATAAATTCACAGTAACAATCTAACTCTCCTCCCAAAAGAAGCAGTTCATTTAATAACAAAACTTCTCCAGATGAGTAATAATTGTTAATAATCTAATATCTGTTGATTGTTTTATGTGCCAACCACGGTTTTAAGTACAGGTATTAATTCATTCATCCTCACAACAGCTCTATGAAGACCTTTTTTTTAGAACCTATTCCTATTTTACAAGCACAAAGAGGCTAAGTGCCCAAGTTCAACCAGCTAGAAAGTGGCAGAGCTCAGATTCAAAACAAGGCTCTGGAGACTGCATTCTCTCCCTTCATACTGCCTGACTACCTCATGTGAAAGCAGTATATTAACACTGTAATTTCCAAAAAGAACCTCAAACTCATTTAAAAATCTTATTTTTCCACGGGGCGCCTGGGTGGCTCAGTTGTTAAGTGTCTGCCTTCAGCTCAGGTCAGGATCCCAGGGTCCTGGGATCGAGCCCCGCATCGGGCTCCCTGCTCTGCGGGAAGCCTGCTTCTCCCTCTCCCACTCCCCCTGCTTGTGTTCCCTCTCTCGCTGTGTCTCTCTGTGTCCGTAGGAAGCCTGCTTCTCCCTCTCCCACTCCCCCTGCTTGTATTCCCTCTCTCGCTGTGTCTCTCTGTGTCAAATAAATAAATAAAATCTTAAAAATAAATAAATAAATAAAGATCTTATTTTTCTTGAGTAACAATTGTGGGTTTTCACATTTACAAATTACTATACTCAGTAGTATGGGGTGGGGAAAGAGCTCTTAAAATCAGAAGACCTGGACACATTTTAATGGTGTAAAACTTGTTCATTTTGTGGCATTTATTAACTCCATGCCTTTGTTACATCATTAATAATTTGGAGATGAGGATAAAAATGCCTGCATTACCTTCCTAATAGGATTATGAGAATCACCTAATAAGAAGCTATATGTCAGAGTGATCTGAAAAGCCAAACTGTTATTACATGAACAGTATCTTTTGTTGCTGTATTAATGCAAGCAGATCTCTAAAAACCAAATTCCAAAAAATTACTTGCAGTACACTATAATCCTGTCCACTTCCCCAGAGGTTTCCCCTGCTTCAGAATCTTGATGTTCATATGCAGGCTATATGTAGATGTGTGCCTATGTTTGTGATTAGAAAAAAAGACTAGAAGACCATACACCAAGATGGTAATGGTGGTTCTCTTTGGAAAGAAAAATCATTAAGTAATTGTTTCTCTACTGGATTATAGTTTTCTAATTTTTCTGCTACACAGACAGGTTACTTGTAGAGTGATTTTTAACAGGAAACTTTTTAGTGTGTTTTACTTTATCCTGACTTTATTATAAAAGAGTGACCTATCCAGTGTCACAAAATAATTTATAAGTAGCAACACAAATGTGTACCAGTGTCAAATCCTCTCTCCTAGACGCATTAAAGATCTTAAGAGATGCAGGTTTATGAACAGGGTAGAGGTTAAGATGAAAGGAAAGAATACTTTTGGGGGAGATGTCACTGCATTAGAAAATAGTTTTAGAATTCACCCATCTTAAATAAAAGTTCAGAATTATGTGTATACCAGGGTCACCAGACAATGTTTTCATTCACTCCTGTGAAAAGGAAATGAATAAGCAATTAGCACTTACCTTTCCCAATATTTGTGGTTTAGGTCCAAGAAGTCATCTAATTTTGCTATCTCCTTGAGGTACTGAGTTAATTTTAAAAGTTCTTTGTCTTTATCTCGATTTAGGTGCGCTTTCATAAAAGGCCTTATCTGTTAGAAAACAAACATCCAACACTTCACACTGCAATAAGGAAACTAGCACAAATCTACACTATCCTCTCATTCAAATTCAGTTAATGAGATGAAAATATTACTAAGGATGTCAGTACTAAAAATGACTTTTGCACTATCTCAGTGAAATAAACTGACAGTCCGTGTATAACGTTTACAGTAACAAGTTGAGAGCCCTTCTACCTCATGTACCTAAAATACTAAAATACCTAAAACTAAAATACTCCGATGACTCTGAATCTAAAAGTTAAACTAGTTAAGTGGAAAAAAGTCTACTATTCACTTAACTACCTTCACTTGTTCTAGCATAATCACTTCTTACTGTATCATTCTTTAAAAATGATCTCACTAGCAGGGCAGAATATATATGACCACTGTAGCCTCATATCAAAGAAAGATTTTTAGGAACTTAAGATGGTCTAGATTATCTGCATTCTCTTATATCATCATTTCCTTGTATAAATAAAAATGAAATTTTCAGAGTATCGATTTATCCATGACCAAAACTAAAGTTTTTTTAGTTCAGTACTGTATTCATAATTCACAATGTCTTATATATCCTATGTGAAACCTTAAGATTAGCAAGCTTGTATTATTAGAAGTTTACTGTTCTAAAAATAAGCAGTCATCTTTAAGATCTCTGTGAAATCTTTTTTGAGACTTCTATCAAGAACATTATGAAACCATGACAACAAAACACAGTAAGAATAGTTCTCAATTTCAAAACTGCTTCTATGTCAATGTGGGCAAATCATTAATAACTACCTTCTTAAAAGAGGTTTTCAAAAGGAGACATATGAGAAATTTCTAGTGGAATGTTTAAAAATACCTCTCTTGAATTAAAATTTGGGGGGATTGTAAACATGTATTTTTAGAAATTCCTTCAGTGATTCTATGGAATGCCTAGATTAAAAAAAAAAAAAATCCTGCTCTAAAGTAATATGAAGAACTAGAAATTTATATCATCTCTGCATCCAAAGGTAAGTAGGGCCCAAATGTGGGCTAGGAAAATAAAGTTTCTTCTAAACACATATGAAACTAATGATCGTATTTTTTTTTTTTTTTTTAAGTTAAAGCTTTCCTCAAAAATCATCCTTGAAGATCATGACTTCACCTCTTTTCCTGAACAGGTATTAAACATTAGTTTCATAGAGAATTTGGTTTAGAGCAATTGAATCTTTTCTCAAGAATTTATTCCTGTACCTCACACCTGGCAAACTACACACAAGAAAAACATTTCTCCCAAAGCCTCAAACAGAAACCATTTTTAGAGAGGAACATAACTACCAATTCACCTCAAGTACTTTTCTTCCAAGTCAACAGCTTTTATAATTGTGGCAATTCACTACCAAGATCAGCATTCTGTTTCTAACCTTTCCTCATACACTAAAGACCACATCCAGAAATGTAAAGTTTTAAATGTTTATCTTACCAATTTACAATGCTACCAGGATTAAATGTTACTATCATGCCTATACAAAATCACATATGACTTCATGCTAAGATCACCGCTGGCCTAGGAATCAAGTAACTTAGATTCTAACTCAGATTCTGTCATTAACCAGTTACATACATGATTTTGGGCAAGTTACAAATTTTCTGATCCTCAGATTGTTTATATAAAGTTAAGAAGATAGACAAGGTGACTGAGATTCCTAGCTCTGGCATTTTATAACTCTTAAGATCTCTAACTGCCCTGTACGAATTTTCAAAAACCTCAGTTTCAGTTTAAAAAGCAAAAAATAAACCCTTACTGCCAGCTTTCCAGCTAACCAGAACATCAGAAATCCCAAGATTTGTATACCTAAAATAAAATGTCTGTTGCTTTCACTTGTGATGCTGAAAGTCAATGTAAGCCCATGGTGTTCCACAGAGCTAACTAAACAGAACATACCTGGATAAGTTGGCAACCCAAGAAGATATCAACATGGGAGAGAGAATGTTCAACTGTATATGAATTTTTCTAAATATGTAAGCTTTCTTGCCTGTGACCATAATACAGTACTTCTGAAAATTTATGAAATTCAACAGTGCTCAAGTTCTACCACAAATTTCAGATTACATAAGCATAAAATTATGTCTTACCTTTAGTCCATTCTGTGGGTTCATTAGAAAATTTCTTCCAATGTCATCAAACATTATGGTGTTTTTTTTGCTGTAAAACTCCGAAAACTTTCCCCATATAACACCAAGAGGCTTTACCTTAGAACAAAAGTTTAGATTTAACTCCAATTTTATCAATAGTTCATCCTTTCTTAAAAGCAGAGATACCTCAAAATGCCCAAACTACGTCAGAGCACTCCTTTCCTCCTGTAGGACAGTGACGGCTGGCTGTGTGAACAGACCACAGCTGAGATGCAACACATTTTAAAGCACAACAGATCTCGCGATGTTAACCTCTGAAAGGTCTGCTCACGTCTACCTACCTAAACCCACTATAAGACTTTCCATAATTTTAACATCAAGACTTGGGGTTAAAGGAGGAGTAATTATTTAAAATATAAGAATTTAAAGTAATCGCTTAATTGTCTGCTGAGTAGTCACATGACTTCCTGGGCTAATACATACATGCCCCTCAGAGCTTGAGTGTCACATGGGGTCTGTTTTCAAAACTAGAAAACCTTAATAACGAACAATGTGCCTGGTTCTATTAATACAGTATTTAAATACTTTCTGGAGGAAAACTGATTGTCTTATTCAGTGGCACAGGTGCACAATTTCTAGGGCAACTGGTTAACTTCAAAAGCACTATAATTTGTAAATTCTTACTTCTATTTCTGAGTTGTTAAAATGAGCCTTCAAAAAAGATAACTCCTTACATATTCATATCTGTTGGTACCTGCATAAAGTCTCTGGAGGACCACACAAGAACAGTAGGAAGAGAGGACTAAGTGGCTAAAGGGCCAGAGGGAGGAAGACTTTTCATTACATACTTTATTTTTATTTTTGAATCATATGAGTTTATTTTATACATTCAGAAAAATTTTTTAAATAAATTAATTTTTAGAAGTACTTTTTTGCTGAAGACAGGAATTTCTTTTACGGTAATATGAGATTATAGGAAATTAAATGGTAGTAAATAAATGGTAACAAAGCTTGTCATTTAAAAATGTTGTTTTTCTTTTTCTTTCTAGAACTTATTTTAATATAGAGAAAGCCTTTTTTCTTAGTGTCCTAGCTACAGCAAAGAATATTATTGAAATTATTTTATTATTTAAAATATTTTAATTTTATTTGCCTTAGTTTTTTACTCTTTGTTTACTACTGAAACAAACCAACCAAATACTTCAAGACAAATATGGAACTTACACAGTAAGCCAAATTTTTTATTTTCTTTTTCTTTTTTTTTTAAGATTTATTTATTTATTTATTTGACAGAGAGAGAGAGAGAGAGTGAGCGAGATAGGGAATACAAGCAGGGCAGAGTGGGGAGCCTGATGTGGGGCTCGATCCCAGGACCCTGAGATCATGACCTGAGCCGAAGGCAGATGCTTAACGACTGAGCCACCCAGGCACCCCCAGATTCTTTATTTTCTTAGCTAACAAAAGCTTCATGAAATAGGACAAGAGCTTTAGTTTATGACACCCAGGGTTAACATCCTACATCCTCTTAAATAGCGCTGTCATTTTCTAATTATGTTAAGTGCCAAAACTTGGACGACTTTGTTCTCAATTAAAGAAATAATACTGCTGACTGTAGAAAAAAAAAACCCTGAAAACACAGAAAAGCACACAGGAAAATTTTAAATTAACTATAATCCAGTCATTACGAAGGATATATTTACCTCCAGTCTTTTTTTAAGATTTTATTTTAGAGAAAGATAGAGTGCAGGGCGAGGGGGAGGGGGAGGGGGAGAGGAAGAGAGAGAATCCCAAGCAAACTCCATGCCTACCACGCCCCTAAGTGGGGCTTGAGCCCAGGACCCTGAGATCATAACCTGAGCCAAAATCAAGAGTCCAAGCTGGAGCGGTCCAGGTGTCCCTCCTCCAGTCTTTTTTATAAACACCAGCAGCTTTACAGTTTATAGATCTTTTGTTAAGGGGAAACCTGAACCAAATAAGGGCTAAAAACTATTTCTAACAGTCTGCAAATACTGCTCTCTAAATTATTCTTTAACTTTAATTGATGTGTCATGAAAAATTTTTAAATCACTAAATATTGTTACATCAAATATTTGTTACATCAAAAATGCATTCCATTTTATGGATGAACAAAAATTTTTATATCCAATTCCCTACTATTAGATATTGAGGATTTATTCATTTTTTTCTTGAAGTATAATTATCATACAGTGTTACATCAGTTTCAAGTGTACAATATAGTGATTCGACAATTCTCTACATTACTCAGTGCTCAGTCACCATCTGTCGCTATACGTTAATCACATTATTGACTATATTCCTTATTCTGTACTTTTATCTCCATTACTTATTTCATAACTGGAAATTTGTCTTTCTTAATCTTCTTCATCTTTTTCACCCATCCCCTCACCTATCTCCTCTTTGGCAACCACCAGATTTATTTTTATTTCTCTAATTTTTCACTATTATAAACATGACTATGTTTAACATTCCCCAAACTTTTTTTTAGTGTTTAGATTTTATAAATGTACAACTTTAGTAGGTAATAATGTTTTTCCCTTGACGTATGAAGTATTTCCTTTACTGAATAAATCTCCACACATTTAAAGGATTCTGTTTATGATTTTGACAATTTCAGTAGTCTCCTCTATGCTTTCCTGGTTTGCTAAGTTCTCCCCAATTCTTACTAGTTCGTGTGCTTCCCAAAGGTATAGACCATGTCTCCAACAGTGACTATCATAACACCTCCAAATAAGAGTTCAATCAATAGGACTGGTTACTCAGTGAGTAAACAAAGTGAAGAACCCTAATCCTTTTAGCCCAACCCTTTTCTCTGGTGGTTCTTGTTGCTCTTCTCCAGGGTTACATATACATCACACCAAAATACATGCATCATGCTTTCTGCTTTTACTTACCAGTTTTATATAGGGCAGAATGAGTATGTTTTGATTTGCTTCTATTATCTTCCTCAATGTTATTCAGTATTTTTTCTCACCTACTCTGTTTTGAGCAACACTGTGCTGCCATCATCATGGAACAATTATCCATGACCATTCTTGATGGTCTTTCTCAAGATCCTTAATTCTATCATTAAAATTCCAATCTATTAACCTTACATACATCTTCCTATGTCAAAGTCAACTGGTAATTTATTATCCACTCAGATGTACTTCTCAACTCTTTCTGTACTTTATTCCACCAACATAAATACAAAAAGTATACTAGAAAATAAACATTTAAAACTTTAAAAAGAAGTAAAATGATTTCTTACGTCTATTAATCCTCTCCTTGGAGTATGCACTGTTATCATAGCAGCACTGTCCAACATGAAGGTAATCTTATAATTTGCATTTGTGCTCACTCCCAGCTCCTATAAATACAAATATTCATGTGGTTAAAATATAATAATATGAAAAATTCCAGGCTTTCTCAATATTCCAGCTACCATTTCCCATAATGCCACCTTCTACCCTACTGGCCACCAACCACACCTTGCTCAACAACTACCAAGTTTATTACTTTCATTTAAGCCAACAAATGGTAGTCCAAAGAAAAGATACTAGAAACAGATTACATCCCTTTACATATTTCAGAAGAACATCACTTCTTTATTACACACCAAAGCAAAATAAGGAGAAAAAAAAACTATTGTAAAATGGGGGGGGAAAGGACATGGAGCTCTGCTGTACTTTTTCTTAAAAAAGACTTAATTACACAATACATTCCACCATTAACCAGACTTTAAGCACACCCCTATTCCTGATAATGGCCAACTGTTTATCTATTAAATGCCCTCCAACGAGAATGAAATTAATTTAACTTGGAACTTCTAAAAAGACAAATGCAATTTCAAAACATTTTTAATGGATTGTCTAACACTTACTTTCATTTTAGCTTCAATCCACTTCATATTTGTTGCGGCTAAAATATGAAGAATGATAATACGATACAAATGAAAAGCTTGAACTTCATTTAAAAATTTTCTCTTCTGTATAGTAAGTTTTCTAAGCAAGATTAAAAGTTCAAATGCATCACAAGTAATACTTCCTAACATATTTATGGTAATTTTAAGTATTTATAAAAATGAACTTTTAGTGCATCAGCGCAGAATAGAATCTTAACAACTTTTATCTAAAAGATGCAGGTAACCAATGTTCAAAAGAATTTTGAATCTAGGAAATTTATAAATCAAGACCTAAATTCCTGTTTAAAAACAGCCCTGACACTGTTCTCCATCAATCCACATTTAAATATAGGGTGCCTGGATCTCTAATTTACTTCCATGTTCCCACTGCCACGCCATGCACTGGCATATATGTCAATATAAGCAGATTAATGTTATGCGCCAAAAGTTGATGTTAAAGACCACTAGGTCCAATAAAAATCAACACTTTACCAGGCTCAGGAAACTTAGTGCTCACTGAGTCTAGGAGCTTTTAACAACGAAACTGACATAACTAAATTCATAAATTCTGTTATGTATCTGCTTATTGTCGGACAACAACCAGTTTTGAGATCACTGATATTAAAATTCAACCCTCAGTTTTATATGCCCTTCTGGTCCCAAGTTACTGGACTAAACTACATAGCTATTACCAAGTAAAATGTTTAAAAAGGGAAAAGGAGTTTAATTTTTACAGCATGTATATGTGTATTTTTTAAAGACAAAGGAGGTACCTGAGTTCTCAAAATAAAAGTCTTCAGCACACAAACACACAAACTGAAAGAATCACCTTACACACAAAACTGGTCAGTTGAACTAAAATTTTAGAGACTGGTACATCTACAATGACAACAATCATGAGATAGGGAAAAACAATTTTTTTAAATTCAGTATCTATTTTAGGTCTACAATCCCCAGATGAAAAACAAAAATAGTCATAGCTAATAAAAAGGGTTTCCAATTAATTACTTATTATATGTCAGACATGGTACCAGTTGCTGTACTGATACTTTTATTCTTATAACTACCCTGTAATACAGGTTTACTTATCTTCATTTCTGATGAGGAACTTAAGGCTCAGAGATATTAACTGACCTGCTCAGTATCACAAAGTAAGGACAAAGTCGGAATTAAACTCTAGTTAATTTAGCTCCAAAGTGAAGTATCCTTTTCAACATACTACCATTAGATACCATAATTTACAAAAATAACTTATTTTAAATATATGATTGTAAAAATTCTCTAAATTTCTAAGTCTACTTTAATAACATTTAGAGGAAAAACTTTTTTGTCAAATGTCATCTCAGGTGTCAGTTGAACAAAAATTTGTTCCCAGGAAGCTTTCCTCCCTGTATCTTATAAACCAGAAAACTATGTATTTAATCTAAATGGCTGTGAACTCATATTAATACTGAAAAATGGAGATACTCTGATTAAAAGGAAAAGTACAAAGGAAATTTAAACACTGAAGTAACACCTTTGTGGTCACTCATCAAAAACCTAGTACAATTAAACATAGCATTTTTCATGATGAGATTTTATTTAATTCACAATCAGGATAGCTCTTTTCTGCCTGTGGCTTGCCAAGAAGCAACTTTAAATGTTTGTGGGGAGGTAAGATATAAATTAATACACAGTTTCTCTTCATAAAGTCTTGCCACAACAAAATGTCCATTGAACTAAATAATGTGCTCAGTAATGTAGTAAATTTACTTTCTGGAGCAAACTCATCATCTTATCACAGAGCTGTAAGCTCCTGGAATGGTCCACAGACCACAATTTGAGTAATACTGCCTTAGTCTGTTTAATTTTCCTTAAGTTAATTCGTATTCCTTTATTTCTGAAGAACAACATCACTGTGATTTTTTTATACGTCTTTCTCCAAATGTTTTGAAACTAGAGTGATAAAGAAAGGAGAAAGCAACAATATCCTGAAGCATCAAAGATTCTACAGTAAAGATCAGAAAGAAAAATTCCTAATCAAGGTGGGGTCTTATGAAAATAAGATCATTTTTATTTTGACACCATAACCTACTCCCTTTCTGTATTTAACTACTTCAGTGGTATTGGCAAATATACATATAAGTTTATATTGTGATGCAAGAAAGTCAAACATGTTTCATCACAAATTAGCTAAAACAAATGAAAACTGCGTCATATTTAACCACAGGTCATTTTAAGTCACATTTTATAAAGCAGAATAATTCACAGAACAAGATTACTTCCATGGAAATCTAAACAAAAAATATAGCTTACACCAAATAACAATGTCATAATCCTCATATGCAGATGTTAGGAATTCATGAAGATATGGTCGCATTAATTCTACTCCAGTCTCTGCACAAGACCTATGGTCTAAAAGAAAATCAGTCATAGATGATTACTAGTTTGTTATCATGGACAAGTACCTGATATCAATGAAAATTATGAAATGTAATATAAACATTCAAATGCAAACTACCTGAGACTGAATTATACTGGCTGACAAACAGATGTCTTTGAAAGCACACAATCTGATATCATTGTGATTCAATTTTAATTAATCGATTTTTTTAATTTGGGAAGAGCAATACCCAGAATTCAGGCTTATATAGTAAACTGTAAATTTAGTTTTCACGTAGTCTTTAAAATATAGACGTTATTTTGTCACATGAAAAACAAACTAGAGCCATCTATACTCACTTTAGCCATTCACCTTCCAGATATAATCACATTTCACCAGAATGACAGGCCCAACTAACTTAATAATCAAATTTTAAAATAAGTACACATTAACTTATGACCTGTACTTAAAGTTTAGGTTTAGAGGTAAATAAATTCATGCTAATATCAGGAGTTAACTAGTCAGTTCTTAGCAATATTAGAGGATGAAATAAACATCTTTCTTTTTTGCTGACACGAGAAATTTTAAATTTAAGAATCTGTCCTGGGGCACCTGGGTGGCTCAGTCAGTTAAGCATCTGCCTCCGGCTCAGGTCATTATCCCAGGGTTCTGGGATCGAGCCCCACATCGGGCTCCCTGCTCAGCGGAGAGTCTGCTGCTCCCTCTGCCCCTCACACCACCTGTGCTCTCTCTTGCTTTCAAATAAATAAATAAATAAAATCTTTTAAAAAAATAATCTGCCCTGCACATAAATGAAAAACCATATCATTTGAAATGATAAAATATCAAAAATGCTTTTTAAATAATCCTCAAAAAATTGAAATGTTAATCAACAGAGAATGACATGATTAAATTAAGATACAGCCATAAACTAGAGTAGTGTTGACCAAAAAATATGTATCTTTAATTCATAATGAATAATATTAAATGACTGAGATATTCAAAATATCATTAAGCAAAAGTAAAAAGGATATACATACAAACACACCCTGGAAGATACACTTAAAATATAAGAACATTTATCTTAGGGGTTTGAGATTACAGACGACTTCAGTATTTTCTACAATGAATGATATACTTTTTATAATAATAAGAAAAGCTTTCAAATATTTCATATTGGAAGGAAAAAATAAACAAAAAGAAAAAAAGAGTTGTTATGGGTAACAGAAGATAAAGCACAATTTTAGTTGACTTACCAAATAACGTATAATCAACATCTAGTACCAAAAGCTTTTTCCCTTCCCTGGGAGGATTCAAAATTTCCACTTTATACTCTTTTACTCTGCGAGAAATTTTCAGTAGGTTTTCTTCCCTAATAGAAAAATAAAATCAGGTGAAACATTCACTTTTTTCTCACATTACAACCCATTTCCTTTGATAATATAAAGCACTTACCTATTTTCTACTTCAACTACTTCATCTTCAATATCAAAGTCGTTGACAACATCATCATTGTCAGGAGGTGGACCTAAGACATCTTCCTATTAAGATGAAAAATAGTTTTTTTTTACCAAATTGTCTTTAACATAACAAATACATGCATAACATAAAAATCAAATAAAAGATATAGTCTGAGGTCAAGAATCTTTCAAACACACACTGTGAGAAAATTTCCACATTTTATAATTCATTATACACATTCACTGGGCAGATTTACCATGTTATTTTGACCATTTGCACTACTACTATGCTTATGGCTAACTATATACTAACAAGTTCCCTAGTATTTGTTTTCTGCTGAATTAATACCACATACATTGTGAAGTTTTTATTTTTCACTGACTGCCAAACTGACAATTTTACAATTAAAACCATGACACAACAGTGTAATATAAATCATATCTTCAAAGGGACAAATGGTAACAAAAGTAAACATTTACCAAGCTCTCCTCACGAGTTCCCATCATCATGATTTTAGTATTTGGTTTCAGTTTGAGAGCTCCAAGCTTAACATCATTTTCTGCAGGTTTGCCTACAATACAAGCAAATGACTGTTTTCTCACTAAAGTTCAGGTGCTGGTTTCACTATCCCATTATACAAAACCCTAACATTAAAAGTTTTGGTACAGATTCCACAGCAGTTTTTTTCTTCCTCAAATTAACAAACTGTCACTGCTGAATTAGCAACATCTAACACGCTAAGAAGTAGCAACTAATACAAGATTTGTTTTTTCCCCAACTCCATCTCAGAGGACACCTTTATTCAACTAGCTAAACAAAATAAATTCATGTTTTATTTTGTTGTTCAAGATGAAGATGTTTTCCAGAAAGTCTTGAACACTGAGCACCTAAGATAAAACTAGAGATTTATTGCTACCCAAAATTCACCCTTCAATGATACAACAAACACAAACACCATGAAAGTCCTTTTCAGACTGGATATGAACACTGCCTATAATTTTTAAATCATCGTTTTAAATCATCATTACTTTTGAAGCAGGAAAGATAATTTAGGGAGAGTACAAGAACCAAGCTATAATGAGAAAAGCTGTGCTAGAACACAGATGTCGAAATTACAGTTTTACCTGAGACTTCTGTGCCAAAAGTTTAACAAGCGAACATCAACTATCAGAGGAATCAAAAGTAATCTTAATAGTGGCGGTATTTTCAAGTAATTTTTAATATTCTTATTATAAAACAATTTTAGGAATATCCCTAACAAAGAAATCTCCAAGGGGAAAGACTTATTAAAGAGAAAAAATAGCTAATATAAAAATTCATAAATATATCAATGCAAAAAGTTTAAAGTGAGGAGAGAATTACCTTTAACTTTGAGTCCAAGTAACTTTTGGCGTTCTGGTAGCACTCCTGTAAGGGTCTTAAGAAACTGTTTGAGATCTAACACGGTATCATCTTCTGAAAGTGTGGTCACTGAATATTCCTGTCCACCCCATTTTACGATGATAGGGAGAGCCATCCTTGAAACATATGATCAAGCAGCTTTCACTCAGAAAAAGATACCTAAAAAGAAAGGGATATACAAGTAAATTAAGTTAAAATAGATATATCAAAGATGTAGCCAAACTTGTAACTAAGTTTTAGGAGCAATGCAGTTTGAGTCTTACTTTACAACTTGATGGTGGAGAAATAATATTTTCTCCTTCAGAAATGCTACCAGAACACCAAAAGTAATTAGGACTCAAAGTTAAAATTCCCCTACCCTCCCAATTTTTGGCTTAAAGTTACTACTTCCTAATACTCTGTCTGATTCTCCCTGTTCAACTGTTAAGCTGCAACAATCAGTTACCTATCCCTCCCTCTCTGTTTGACCAGGTTTATGCTACAGGTTAAGTTCCTCCATGATGGACAATTCATATTTATTTAACACTTGAGAAGTGGCACAGTGAGTTGTTAAAAGAGCAAACTCTAGAGCCAGAGTACCTGGGTTCAGATCCCAGTTATCCCACTAGTATCCCCAAATACTAGCTATTTGACTTTGGGAAGTTATCAGACTCTCAGTGTCTAGGTTTCTTCATCTGTAAACTAAGGATGAGAATACTACCTACTTTGAAGTTCTTATGAGAGTTAAATTAGCTAATTATTTATAAGTCACACAGATCTGGCACATAGTAAGCACTACATAAATAAGTATTGGCTAAATAAATTTTCCTAAAAACTTGAGCTGAAATGTTCCAGACACTGTGCTAAATAAAAAGTATAGCCAATATGTGTTTCATACTTAACAAATTGGACAGTTTTTATGCAATGTCATTTGACAAGGTTGATAAGAATTGTCCCTCTTTTAAAATTAAGGAAACGGGACTTCAGCGAGGTTAGGCAATCTGCTCATGGGCACAAAGCTGGGAACAGAACATGTCTTCTGACTAAATCTCATGCTTCTTCCCCTACATCACAACTGCCTCTCTTACATTGGGACCTACAGGAGGCAAGGTGTCAAAGATCAGTAAATACAAAACCCACAGGCACAGATACAAGCACACAGAGATTAAATATTGGCTGCTATTCTCATCAACAATAGCATGTAGGTCTCTTCCCTCTTAAAACTCTCTATCAGTTTTCCTAAATCTATCCCCCTGCCCTCTTCCAGGTCAGAGAACTGAATTTCCTAATCTCCATTTCCAAATGCTATCGCTTGTTTAATGAAATATTTGACTGCGTTCTCCCTGGATTATGACCAACTGCAAGAAGGCAAATTGTGAATCATAATATGCAAAAATAACTTAGAAACTTAAGCTGTCTTCAACATGTCCACTAGAACAGAGCACCATAAAATCACTTATATTTATGCTCTTATATCTGCTCTACTGAAATTTAAATAAAGTGCTAATTTTGGGCAATGTATTGTTAGAGATAACTTGTTCTAACAAATGTTATGATCCTCAATAAACAGCCAAAGAGAATTTGAGCCAAACTAAAATATGGTTTAAGTATTATTTCTCTGTGAAGGTGGGAATAAAAATGAAAATTTCCAAGAGCTGAGAATGCAAACAGCACTAACATAGTTTATGTTGTGTTGGGGGATGGGGGGCGCAGAGAGTTTGGAGATCACCTGAGCTCCAGATGAGCCTGGACAAGTCATTTCACCTTTAGACCAGTATTCTCAAAGTGTGGTCTCAGATCAATCAACAGCACGACCCTACTTGGTAACTTGTTAAAAATATAACTGAGGTTGGAGAAAAAGGACCTAGCAATTTGTGTTTTTTTAACAATCCCTGTCTCAGCCTCCCCCTCACCTCCATCTCTGAGGCATACTAAAAGTTTGAAAGCCAGTGCTCTAGACTCAATTTTCTCAGCTAAAAAAGAAAATATGCCAGATGGCATGGGCTCTGCATGCTTAGTAAAGTAGTATACAAATGTTAAACATTGTACACCTACACCGCTAGTGGGAATTCCAAGTTGGCAAGTGCTCTAAAGGACCAAGCATAACAAAACAAACACCATCAAAATTTTAAATGCATAGTCCTTAAAACTGCTTTTGAACCTCATTTCTTCAATATTCAGATCATTCACAACGGAACACACAATGCAAATGCCTGAGTCTTTTTATGTTTTCACATTTAACCTTCTTTCTCACACAATTCTAACTTTGTATGATTCTAGCCCCTATCAGATTTGCAAACCAAAAAATGATTTGGGGGTGGGAGTGGTTGGCAATTAAACCTACAAAAGTAAGGATCGCACCCTTATAGCGAACCTAGAGTCAGGAACAGCTGTTTGGGTTAGTTCTTCTCTCTACCATACTGTACTGACTTGCCTAGTCAATTCCAAAATTCCTACCTCAAAATGAGACTATTAATATTTACTTAACAAGAACAGTGTTAACGCGTGAGGTAACACCTGTGACAGCACTTAGTAAACTCTAGAGAGCAAGACGAATGGTGGCGATGACAGAAAAATGACAACATGCTAAACAACTTATCTCACTTTATTTTCGCAATCCTGAACTAACGACTATTGTCTTCATTATACACATTAGAAAACTGAAAAAGAAAACAACTTGCCCAAGACCACACGACTAAAATGTTGCAAAGGCGAAGACTTGAAACTAACGGCAGCAAAAGTTAACATCTTGGGCATTGAGAAGTGAACGTTCCAACAAGCCTACAGCACAGCAGCAGCAACCGCGAGGTAGTGCGGAGGCGACAGCTATGGGAAGTGAATGGTCTGGGACAGCATACAAGCATAGGAGAGACTCAAAAACCCCAGAGGCCGGATGCCTTCAAGAGGGAGGCTGAAGAGGAGGGCTGGACAAACCCCAGAGGAGGGAGGAATGAAGTTAGGGGACGCAAAACCCACTGGGGCTCGGGAAGCCCACGACAGAAGCGAGAAGGCCGCATGGGCGGGCGGAGGCCCCTGCGACGAGCTGGCCAGGGCCGGAGGCCTGGGCCGCGGATTGGGGCAAGACGCGGCCCAGGGCTCCTCCAAGCAGCCTCCAGCCCGCCGCGGCCGGCCGCAGTGGAAGCCGCGTCGCGCGAACACCAGTGCTGCGCTGCGGTCCCCCGACCCCAACGGCCTCTCCGTGGGCAGCGCCCCGGGGTGCCCTGCGTCCCCTCACCTGGAGCGCGGCGGAACCGGCAGCAGTGGACGCAGGAACCGGCCGCAGCGGAACCGAGGGCGACCGGAAGTGAAAAACGAGGACCGGAACCGGCTAACGAACCGGAAGTTCAGGTTTGAAACGGAAACGCGCTGGAGACCGCACGGCACCTTCTCGCGTTGGTCTTTGGTCGGGGGGTAATCCTAGATAGCCGCTGCCAGGGATCTCCTCACCCGGTGAGGGAGCCAGGCCTTTCTGAGACTTTAACCACTGTGCAGATACCTAGGGTCCCTGGATGGCTGCCGGCCTTCGCCTGTTTTGCGCATGCGCCCGCTAGTGGGCGCTGAGCTGGTGGGGGTGGTGCTTCAGGCGAAGGACGTCTCTGGTATTGTTTCGCCGAAGTCAGAGGCGGGTCGGTGGCGTTACCCTGGATTTCCAGGTGTGCTGAGAGCTTTGTAGGACTCGCTAGGACTCGCGTGGCTTTGTCATATTCCGGATGAGAGCTGAAATGTGACCTTTAAGACCGAAGACTTGGAACTCCCTCCCCTCCTCCCCCCCGCACCAGGGGCCTCCAACACTAGTAATTTTAGGAGCTTAGACTTTTCTACCCATTTTATCCAATGCAAGGGTAAACTGAGGACCGGCAGGAAAGGGAAGGGGCAGGCCTAAGTCACTCAGAAAACCAAAGAAGCAAATCAATTCGAGAGCTGCCATCGAGATCACTAAAGTATTGTAGCGAATTTAACTCCACCTGCCCATCCCCACCTCCCCTCTGAATGCGAGGAAAGCCAGTTACAAACCCCGACAAAAGAATTGTAGACTTTAGTGGAAACTCAGAGCAGTCTCTATCTGATTCATACAGCGAGTTCTCAATGTGCATCACTTTAGGCAGAAGAAGAAAAAAATCAATGCCGCTAGATTGTTCTATATGGCGCCAAACAAAACTTAGATCTTCAAAAGGGAAAATGCGAAAATATTGGCCTCAGATATGCACAAGTCTTTGAATTACGTATATTTTTCTTTCTACTTGACAGTGATGTAACTGATTCATGTTTCCCTTTTGGCTGTGATGGAAGGGAAGCAAAGAGCCAAGTTTTTTGTCTTAACAGTTTTTTAGTAAAGACAACACTATTTTATGTTCTCCTTACCTCCCTCTTTTGGCAATTTTTATTGCATTAGTAATGCATGAAAAGCTGCTCATTTTTTAAAAAAAAACATTTTCAGTAAAAAAAAGTACACCCTCTTTCCTTAAAAAAAGGGGGGGGAGGCGCCTGGGTGGTTCAGTTGATTAGGCATCCCACTCTTGATTTCAGCTTAGGTCATGATCTCAGGGTGCTGAGATAAAGCTCCTCCGCTCTATGCTGGACTTGGAACCTGCCTAAGATTCTCTCTCTCCACCTCCACCCGACTCCCATGTGCTACACACACACACACTGTCTCTCTCTCTCTCTCTCTCCCTCTTGCTCTCGCTCTCAAAAAAAAGGGGGGGGAACTCAAAATTAAAAGAATCTGTACAAAAATCACACATAAGCAGTCCAGCCGAAGAGATGGTCAAAAAACAAGGAACTGAACTCCAGAATGAATTATAATTTTCTTTCAACCCAGTCTGTTCTATGTTCAAGGGCTAACCAGCTGCTTGGCCACTTTATATTTTTTACTGTTTCTTGAGAAGCTTGTTTTTGTTAATCATAAATGTCAACTAAGACGTTTTAAATTTTACATCTAAGCAGAAGAATGCATAAAGAAATTCTTTTTAATGATAAAATAACCATTGTATGAAAATCTGGTAAGTTTAATGTTACTCAAGCGTAGATAATTTAATAATTGCGGATGTTGAACAGTGGTATTTCTTAGAGAATAATGGTAGCAGAATAGTTTGGACAAATAGTCCATTTAACAGATGATTTGCCCATATCTCAGTTCTTCCAAATCCATTTCTATTTAGCTAAACATTCATGAAATAAAAAAATATCTTAAGAATAAAGGAGCTGGAAAATTAATAGTCAGGAAATAAGAAATGTTGGTGCGGATGCGGAGAAAAAGGAACCCTCTCACACTGTTGGTGGGAATGCAAGCTGGTGTAGCCACTGTGGAAAACAGTATGGAGTTTCCTCAGGAACTTAAAAATAGAGCTACCGCACCACCCAGCAACTGCACTACTAGGTATTTTCCCCAAAGATACAAATGTAATGATCTGAAGGGGCACGTGCACCCCAATGTTTATAGCACAATGTCCAGAGCCCAGATGTATCACCATATGAGTGGATAAAGAAGTTGTGGTATATATATACAATGGAATATTACTCAGCCATCAGAAAGGATGAATACTTACATTGATGTGGATGGAACTGGGGGGTATTATGCTGAGTGAAATAAGTCAGAGAAAGACAATTATATGCTTTCACTCATATGTGGCATATATGAAACAGCGCAGAGCATCATAGGGGAAAAGAGAGAAAACTGAATGGGAAGTCATCAGAGAGGGAGACAAACCCTGAAAAGACTCTTAACTATAGGAAACAAACTGAGGGTTGCTGGAGGGGAGGTGGGTGAGGGATGGAGTAATTGGGTGATGGGCATTGGGGAGGGCATGTGATGTGATGAGCACTGGGTGTTATAGGCAACTGATGAATTATTGAACTCTACATCTGAAACTAGTGATGTACTATATGTTGGCTAATTGAATTTAAAGAAGAAGAAAGGAGCTGGACTCCTGGGAACTAGGAATAAATACAAAATGGACTTAAAAAAAGTTCTCAGAGCAACTCACAAGTGTCATTAGGAAGAGAATAATTAAATTTCTCCTTCCCGTTGCTCACCAGATCTTCCCTTCTAATGGGTAGAGAGTAATATACTTGTGCCTCACTCATAATTCTTTGCAGCAACTAAAGACGTCTGGGAATTCTTCCCTAGGGTTTTGATAGGTTGTTAGGTCTAAGAGACTAAAATAAATACGGAACCAATTTCATAAAATCAGATGATAAACTGCTGACATCACTGTGATCATGTTTGGATTAGAAGGCTAAAGGACTTTCCTGCACCCCAGCCAGAAATCCACCACCACCTTGCCTTTAGCCCCACGTTCCCCTGACCTGTTTACTTCCTTCCCCTTTTCTCTCAGGCCATTTTCTCTCTCCTCCCATTTGAAAAACTAGCCTTTCTACCTCCTTCTCTCTTTTCTCGCTCTCTTTTTTCTTTCTTTCTTTTAAATTTGGATACTATAGCACTTTGTTTCTCCTAATACCTATTTCCTTGCCTTTTCCCTGACTGTAGTCAGTGTGCTGAAAATGATTAGAATCTGCCCCATAGGGCACACTCTACAGGCCCTTAATTCAGCCTGGCAAGTTTACTAGCTTTCTCTATTTAGCTTGCTTTCCCAAATGACAGCTTAAAACCACAACTCTCTTTAAACCTCAGATCTTCCAATTTACATCCTTGTTCTTGGTGGATGACATTGTCTTATATTTTTCATAAGAAAATGGAAGGTCTCTGGGCGCCTGAGTGGCTCAGTCCGTTAAGTGTCTGACTCTTGATTTCGGTTCAGGTCATGATCTCAGGGTCATTGGATTGAGCCCCTTGTCAGACTCCACGCTCAGCAGGGAGTCTGCTTGAGGTTCTCTCTTTCCCTCTCCCTCTGCCCCTCCTCCCTCAAAAAAAGTAAGTAAGAAAGAAAGAAAGAAAGAAAAGGAAAGGAAAGAAAGAAAGAGAAAGAAAATATAAGATCTAAGAGGAATTACCTTAACTTCAGACCTCTGGAATCTATGAACTAAGTTAAATCTGCACCTGTCTTTGCTTATTTTGCTTGTTTTTAATGGCAATTTCCTTCTACCTGAAGTCAACCCTTATACTTGTGCTCTGGCTCCTTCCTTGTCAGCTTACTTTAAATCTAGTATCCTTTCTGGCAACTGTATTTTTAATCTTTCTCTCTACTGGTTCATTTCCATCAATGATAAGTATGCCATGGTATCTTGCCATCAAGATACTTTCCTTTCATAGTCGGGCATTTCAAAAACATAGTTTACTTTTGTCTAAACTTGACACAATATGTAATTGTGTATTTATTTCAGAAGATTTTTTTAGTGACAGTCTCTCACTGTACTGTAAGCTTTGTGAGGAACCAGACCATGTCTGATTAATTCACCATTATATCCTCAGAGTTTAGCATGACGTGGGCTAAAGCAGGTAATCAAATATTTGCTGAATGGATGAATATTAATGAATAGAACGTCAAGTAATGAGAGCTTGTTATATATTATGCATATAATAATGCATATCCATGAATGATTATAATTTGTATATGGCTCTGGATGCATAGGAAAGTTCTGAAATATACACCAAAATGCTAACAGTTCATGGTACCATAGGATACACGCAGTATTTAAGTGAGTTAATTGACATTATCTCTTGATGGCATCATAGAGCAAGTGCTTTTCATCTTGTTTATGTTTTTCTATATTTGGATTTTTCACAATGATTTTGCATTCTTTTTCTTTTTAATATAAGAAATTCATGAAGGCATTTTTTTAAAAAAATTTCAAATAATACAGATATATCCTTAACACATAATTTTTATGCCTATCCTTGCAAGTCATTTCTATGCTTTAGATTTATATACATTTGTATGTACAGTTTATATATACTTTTTAAAAATAATTATAGATTTATAGGAGGTTTCAAAAAGATCATGTGCACCCTTCACTGAGTTTTTTTCTAATGATTATGTCTTTCATAGCCTTAGTACAGGGTCAAAACTTTGACATTGGTATGATGTGTGTGCATATAATTCTAGGCCATTTGTTATCACATATAAATTCATATAACCACTACAATCAAGATACAGAACTCTTCTATCACTACAAAGATGCCCTTGTGCCACCCATTTATACCCACCCCCACCCCCATTCCTCTTACCATTCCTAGCCCTTGGTCATTAATCTGTTTTCCATCTTTATGCTTTTGTCATTTCTAGAGTATTATGAAAATGGAATCCTACATAAAGGCCTTTGAGTTTTTTTTTTTTTCCCACTCAGCGTAAGACACTTGAGATCTATTCAAACTATTGTTTGTAGCAACAGTCCATTCCCTTTTATGGCTGAGTAGCATTTCCTGGTAT